GCCTTTTGGGGGAAACCAGGTGAGCCAGAGTTTCCCAAGATCGGACCTGATACTTCTCATGCCCCGCATCTGCCTCATCACATGAGTTTTGCAGCCACCTCTTAGAATTTGATAAGCAGCATTTTTGAGCATTTTGTGTCTCTGACTGAATTCTGCTGGAGGCCACCAGTGGTCAGTGCTGGAAACTTTAATGAGGCAGCTTGCTTTATAAACTGCAGAGAGCCAGATGGAGCCAATTCTGTAATCCTGAAATATAAATTATGTATTATTTAATACAGATTCTGAAGTCCCTGCAGGACTGCAAATCAGCCACTTAATAGCTTTTCACTTTAAACATACTGAACTCTGTAATGACTTGATGTCATTCTGAACACAGTGATTAAGTATTCAGTTTACAAGACAAATGGAGACTCATTAGAGTCAATCAGAGAAGAATAACATGAACAAGAACTGTCGGTATTTATCATAATTTCAGAAAAGAATATTTTACCAGATACTTTGGAAAAAAAAAAAAGCTGCTGCTTTGTTATACTGTGAAAGTACTGCCTTCTTCATAAGAACTTCTAATGAGATCTCTTCCAGTCCTGATGTTTTATGGTAATCTGACTGTACGACGCCATCGTACGTCAGTGTGAAATTAAGTGGTGAGTGTGGCAGTGTCTCTCCTATTGACTATTTCTTCGCAATCTATTTTAAGATTTTGCTATTGAAATAACCAGAATGAAAGGAAGCTTTACTTTACGTAATGCAATAGGAACTGAATCAGCAGCCAGTGACTTCTAGCACACTGGCCAGAAAATAAAAAAGCAGCAAGGGGAAGGAATATTTGATATGCTTAGTTGGTCATGTTTGCTTAATGTGGAAATTTTTCCAGTAATTTAAAGATCAATGACATGAGGAACACAAGGTACATTTAGTTAGATACACGCATTCCAATGTTTATGATTCCAGTTTCTTGTTACTTCAATTCCATCCATCTCTGTAAGTTTTTTACTGTATTTATCTTACTTTTTTTTTTCTTTTTTACTGAGGTTGCATGGGCTTTGGCTTCCAAAAGTCAAATACAAATGTCAGAGTAATGCTAATACATCGTAGCCAAGGAATTGGAATAAAATTATTTCCACTTAGTCAAGGATTTCAGAGTGAAATATGAAGTAGTATCATGAGTAGGTTTGGAGACAGAAAGTCATAGATGGATGCTGCTTTTCAGAAAATTGCTGAGTATTTATTTCCCTGAAATTCTCTGCAGCACAGCAACAGCTGTGGGCTCCAGACACAGCATTCAGGGTTCCTATTGATTAAATATGGTTTTATTGTTTAAAAGAATCACAGTCAGGCTCTACTAATTAATAAATAACCAATGTATTCCAAATGACTTGCAATAAAGCTCCTGTTTTAACTCCCTGTTTGCAGTAACAGCATGATTCTCTTCCAGGTTATGTGGCATTATTTGTATTTATGGTAGGGCTGTGTTTTGCACCTACTTTTTGTGAAGATAAAGTTGGCATGGCCATCTCTTAGAATCTCGAAGTCAGTTTTGTATTCATTAAGAGATCATGGAATCGTAGAATAATTAGACTTGGAAAAGACCTCCAAAATCTTCTGGTCTAACTGTCTACCTACCACCAATATTTCCCACTAAACCATTTCCTTTATTACCATGTCTAAACATTTCTTGAACTCCTCCAGAGACAGTGGCTCCACTACCTTCCTGGGTAGCCTGTTCCAGCACCTGACCACTCAGAAAATAATTTTTTCCTAATATCCAGCCTCAGTCTCTCTTGAAGAAACTTGAGGCAAATCCATCTAGTCCAATCACTAGTTGCACGGGAGAAGAGGCCAACTTCCAGCTCACCACAACCTCCTTTCAGTTAGTTGTAGGGAATGATGAAGTCTCCCCTGAGCTTCCTCTTCTCCAGGTGTCATGGAGTTGACCAGATCAATCTAAAAACAGCCTTAGTTGCTCTGTTCTCTTGTAAGCTATTGCAAGAGATTTAACATAAGGCTGGTTTGTGTAACATAGAAATCAATTAAAAATGATAATATTTTGTGCCTACAGGTGCGATTTTACAAGTAAAATGACTACAGGAGCAAATAGAATTTGAAAGCAAAATATCCTGTATCTTAGTTCAAAATGTGCTAATTGATAGCATTAATGCAAATTAACATCGATTTTAAAAATATTCTGAGACAAATTTCATGTCACCCAAGTAATGTGCATTGCCTACATGGAGACACATTTTTGCTGTCCTTGAAAACTACATAAACTGGAGCTGCTGGAAATCTGCACTGTGCAGTTAGCCCAACAAGTGAGTTCCGATGGTGTAACCATCTGTGGAGAACACGGGGCCTAAGAGAGCTTTCCTGAATGTCACAACGTGTGTTGTTCCATGGCAAATACCACTGCAAATTTCTGTTTGGTTGGATTTGGAACATCCGAGGATGAAAACCTTGCCTTCTTCTCAAGCAGAATAAGGTCAAGTATCAGAATGTCCCAAAACCTGACATCCTACCTAGAGGCTGCAGCCTCTAGGTCTTCCTGTTGGATATTTCACTTTTAAGCCTTTGAGTGTTAGAGGTTTGAAAATGGGTATCAGATGAACAAGGGATAATTTGATCAATTGAGTTCAGAAAAAAAGTAAACGAATAGAAGAACTTTGTAATAGCTTGTAATAGCAGCATGCTTATTTTGTGAATTTAAATCAAGCCCAGCCAGTAGGCTCAGCCCAACCTAAATTAGCCACTCTGCTCCACTACCCATCTGTATCCACTTCCACAACTAAAACAATATATTTTTTTAATTCAACAGGCTATTGTGAGGCTTTATTGTTGCTTATGGCAAAGCCGGTGATATTTTAGTAGAAACTGCATCAGTTATTGCTCAAGTGAGAACATCCTGACATAAAAAATTAATATTTTCCAAACCCCAATTAACTAAGCTGAATGAAGATTCAAAGATAGGACTTATTACTGATGATCTATAGAAGTGATAGGTATATACTTATTTCTAGAACATTTAAGTCAGCAGTTACTTCAGACATTAGACAGTGGAAAGATTTTCAGTAGAAATTTGCAAAAGAGAAAATAGTAATATTAGGCTAAGTTTTAAGGATAGTTTGAAAGCTGAAATTGTGCACACTGACAATTAAAGTAGCTGAAGCAAATATAACTATTGACAATAGATGACACAGGGGTCAGCAATCATTATGGTGCTAAAATCAGATGACAACAAATTAGAGATATTTGATAACCACGTGTATCATCTTTGCTAAACAACGTGCCTAAGAACATATATTTCAATATTAAGCATACTGGGATTGTTGTGGAAACCACTGCAAAATAACATTCCCATATGACTGTCAATTGTCAAAATAACAATCATAAAGGAGAGAGTGGGAAGAGAAGAGACAGAAAGATAGCCAGTGCAAAGTAGCTTCCAGATATATAGTGACTGTAAGTATTCTTTTAAGTTCCCAATCCTTGCCAGATTTCCTTCCCTCCATATCCCAAGCAACTATCTCCACTCATTAAAGTTAGAAAAATGGAACAACTAAGTGGAATACTTTTTCAGGAGTTTTGGTGAAATGAGAGAACATCAACTGATGAAAAATTGGTTATGGCCTTGTCTGGAAAGGATTTAGATCTCACTCTTTGTTATATCAATGCAATTATAGCAGAACAAAATGTTCTTAGTATAATAGGGTTTATGCCATCTGCAAAGTAATTCTCACTCCTCTGATATTGTTTGCTTCTATGTTAATGGACTAGAGGTACGCTGCACAAACTGACAGTGTAATTCCATGGTTGCTTTAATGGAAGTACATGAGCTGTTGATACGTGGTCAAAAGTTATTAACTGAATCAGTTGTGTTCAGCTGCAAAGCTGCCATTCTTTGCTGACTACACAAGCCCAGCTTGCTAGAGCTTTGTTTTCATTCTTCACTCCTGAATATGAGAGGTGAAACTCACTCAGATTGTTGAGACTATACAGGTGACCCTTGAAGCCGCTTGCATTCATCACAAGGCCATCACATTTAGGAGGTTATCCATAAGAGCTAGTGATTGTCTTCGCAAGCGCACAAAGCTTCCCACCTTTTCAGTGGCTGACGCAGAACACTGGTACAACAGGAAGGAAATAAAGCATGAGATTCTCACTGTGCTAATAGCATTTTCTTCTTTTAAAGCCAAAACTTAATTACCGGAAAAGACCTTCAAAACAATATGAATTTGTAGTTAAAGGCTACATTTTCTCTTGAGCAGAGTAATGCATATGTATACTGGTGGCTGAGTGGTTATTAAATTCCAAATCTTTTGAGGATCTCTAAGCATCATTTTCCTTCATTGCACCTTTGTGCTACTAGGAAAATCCTAGGAAAGTTTGTGTTCGTGCAAAACTTGCCGAAGACCTCAAGACCTCAGAACATTGACACTTATGTCATGGCAAATTCACTTGCTTGAGGTTGAACAGTGAATTTAGGATTCCTTCTTTACATGACTGGAATTATTTCTTATTGTCTCTGTAGTTAACATGGTTTTATAACTTTTTAGTTACAACATGCTCTGATCGTAAGGTTTTATAGGGCTTTGAAACTTGTTTGCCCGACCAGTGAATCATAGAATCTAATACTACTTTTACCACGTATGTATGTTGAGTGATATTTCTGCCTGAAGGCTGTTTAGGGAAGTTAAACACTGAAATCAGGACAGATTTGGTCTGTTACAGTTACACTATCTACGAGACAGGGTGATACCTGATATGCATAGAAGTGGGAAAATACTTCAGTTAATGAATAAAAGCTTAAGACAACTCAGTGTATGGTAACTGCTGAGTCACAGCCTGAACCACTGATTGAGCACCTGGGGAAAAGACCCAGGCAGCCCTGGGAGCACAGGTGAAGTTCATTCATCTGTGGGACCAGAAGGAGCCAGGCTCCACCCCTCTTAAACCTCATTTAATGGCTGAGTGCCATGAGGGAAAGATTTCTTTCTGGAGGTCTCTCTGTGAAGCTTTCCTCTGTGAACCTGGGTTCTTCCAATACAGGTGACCAATCTTTATCCCTTTATTCATAGTACCTTTCTATTGTGCTGGTCCTTCTATCATCACAGCTTTGTTGTAATGCCTTTCCTATTGTACTGATCTGTTCAATTGCTATGTTTGGAAAAATGGAAAATGTTTTATAAAGATGTAATATGTAAAAAAGTAACACAAATACTAGAGTTTCCCATACATTATGACATTTTGTTTTGGTTCAGGAGCTAAAATAGTTCAGAATTAAGAATCCTTCCTTTAGCTCCCTGTTTGGCTCAAGAGTAAGTAGTGTGTGTTCATGTATGTCCAGAGCAAGGAACTGGAAGCAGATCTGCGGTTCTGAAGAGGAAAGTTAAATCTCGCAATGCACCTCATTTTGTTTGCACCTTAGATGATATTTTCCTGTGAAAGAATCAAGTATGAGTAAGAAAGTGCTGAAAGTAAGCATTGTGCATGCAATTAGTAGGTAATCCAGAGGCTCTAGTTATTTCATGATTATTTTATCATGGGCTGAAGTTACCCTTTCTGTCTCCCAGTGCTTTTTTATTTTTACTTTTTCAAAAAATCATATAGGGGATGTGATTCTGCATTGAAAATAGTTTAGAACCAAGTTCCCCTTTACTGAACTTGACGTCTTTCCCCAGGGAACTGAGAAATCCTTTCTGTTTGGAAGGATGACAGAAACTGAACCTAGTCTTATTGTGAAACATCTCACAGCAATATTCTCCACAGCTTTGGGAAGGTCATGTTGTTAAAAGAGGGATCAGATAGCCCATACTTGAAAGCAACTTGGGAGCAGGAAGGTGAAAGCAGATTCACTTGATATCCCTTAAAAATGCCAGTTCTCTCTTGTGAGCCTAAAGAGAAGTGGAGTCCTCTTGGATCAAGGACCAAGTGGAGGGGTCAGCTCTGCTGGAGCAGAACAGAAGTCAGTTAAACATGGGTTCTCTTTGTGATATGCACAGGACTCCTGTCAGCCCTATAAAAGCAGAAGTCTGTACCAACAGCATTCTTATAGGCAGCCCGGTTAGCTGGATGGCCAGGTGTGTAGGGCCAGTTCCCAATTTTAGCTTCAAAAATCAGCTGAAGACAATCATTTGGTGTAGGAGTTACTTAAATCCTGATGACACACCTGAGGGCTTTATAAGCTCATGAGGGGAAAATGCTAAACCTGGTAGAGAAGGAATGTGAATGTAGATGTGTTAAATAAAGCTGGGGAAAAAATATGCCTTCTGTTGTTTATCTGCTTTTAGAAGATAAATCAGAATGCTCAGTGGTCTCATTCTTGTCTCGCTTGGCTAAGTTTTTGGCTGAACAGTGGGCAGGTTCATTTGGTTGCCTGTGTTGGGACCCCTGAAGTTTTCTGGAAGGCTGCTTTAAAGGTTATTTGTAATAGTTACTTGCAGAACAACTGTGTTTATTTTCTAATACAAGTAAGCTTTTATTTGATAGGTGCTCTCATACTGATCATCTTCAGCAGGCTTTGCCTTTCTTTGCTTAAGAAACTATGCTTTGAAACTTGTGAGGAAATGCAAAAGCTAACTAGTAATACAATAATTCATGAAGCAGAACATAGAAATCATAATGTTGAAGGGGACATCAAACATTAGCAAAAAAAAAAAATAATAATTCTATTATAGACTTAATTTTACTGAGTGTCAAGAAATGAGATGAATACTTTGGAACAAATGTATAAATTCTACTGGAACTTTTCAGTCTCTCCAGATAACAAGATGGCAGATGACAAACAAAAATACACAGGAAATCAGTAACTCGGGTTTTCAGACTGTTTTGCTGGCTGGGATTTCTTTCTACTACATAATTTTTCTCTCAATAAATACAATTAGTAACAGAACTAGCATAGTTGTAAGTTGGTACTAAAATTTTACACTCATCTGTAAGGATGGAGATTGGCTTGTGTGGCATGATTGGGTTTTTTGTGCCACTGTCCTAACAAGAGGAAGGGCTTTTGAGTTTGGATATGTAACTCTTCTTGTTAGTTTTGCCACTGGGGATACCTGTGTGACCTGTAGTCTTTATTTTAGAAGGAGTCAGCTATATTGTTAAAGGGAAGTGCAAGTAAGAAATGGTTTCATCCCTTGAGCAATGTGGTTCTGACTTGTCTGCTGAGCACTGCTTAGTAGGTCATCTTTCCTTTCCCTAGAAAACCAAAGTATGAATGATGTGGGGATGATGCCCCACTGTACCATCTTGTCTGATTCCCCTTTTGCTGTCACAGTGTGACAGGATAAAGGTCCTGCCTACAGCTTATTGTCCCCAGCATCTTGCTCCTGCTGTCACTTTTGTATTACTGTACTGATCAGGGTGATTGTTCATAAAATTTTGTTGATGACAGATGTACACTGGACTACGATCTTAAACTGTTAGTTGTCACCCATAATGTATTTCATTTCTTGAGTAAACTCAAGAATATCTAAAGATGTTCAAAGCTGTACCTCAGTTGTCTCATGCTTTCTCTGGAAAAATAACTGGTTTTCACTAGAAAATGTAATCAAAATATGCAGCATGACACAGTTTAAAAGAAAAAATCTGTCACTTATATTTTGCATATTTAAACTTCAAAACACTGAAGAAATTGGTTTAAAAATAGCAGTTTTGAGTAGCTGGTTGGTTTCTTTTCCCCTCCCAGAATCAGATGCTTATCACCTGCAGTGCTCATTAAAATTAATAGAGATTGCAGGAGGTTGGGAAAATTCCATCAAGTGCTTTCTTATTTTCCAGTCAAGATCATCACTGAAAACATAGGAATGTGAACTGGTGAAAGGGGCTGAAATCACACTGTGTGCTCTTCTTGGGGGCCAGGGCTCTTGACTTCCTATTTTATTTGTATGCTTTCTGTATTCCTCATTGCTTCTATCTGACTGAAAGGAGGTTGTTTCCTTACAATGATATTTGATATGGTAAAAGCACTGTGATTGCAGTAGCCTGGTGCTGTTTTCTTTGGACAGATGTCAGCATTCTGTCTGTAGATAGATCCCTCTGAGAAACCTGTGCAGCCAAGCCAGTCACAACGGTTCCCATCAGTGCTGCATTTATTCTTCTGTGTGGGCAAGCTCATGATTTGCCACTTGAGAGCAGAGTAGCTTGCATGAGTTGGTAGGAACTCAGGAGCAAACCTTTCCAATGTCCTGCTCCTCGCCTCTGTGGGGTGCTACATCCTGGGTCAAATGCAAGTACGCTCTGCACAAATAGTTTGGCTAGTTTTTTTCTCTACTTTGCAGCTGCTGAGGAGCTTATGCTTATATGCACTGAGAGTTTCTTTGTCTGCTTGAATAGGCATGCTGGTGGGGAAATAGGCAGCTGGTGAATTTAGAGTACTCTAATGTCACTTGGCAACATATGTGACGCTGCTTGCCTGATGCTTTGCTTTCCCTCATGTTAGCTGAAATTGAATATTCTTTTAGGAGCACCTTAATCTATGGGTACCATTTTATCTTGATGCTGTTTCAGTGCTGTGCATCAATTTTTGCCATCTTTCAGCAGATTCTAAGCGCAAATCTGCCCAGAAATGAGCTGAGATTCTTGTCCTTGTGCACTTGAAATGCCTGTGTTACACTCACTGGGTAAATCAGCATTTGGATTTCTGTTGCTTGCATGTAATCTTTTGTTGCTTAAGCATTACTCTTGTGTTATGTTTATGTTGGGAAAGTGTTGCTTGTGCTCTCCAGATACTTTGTTACATGTATATCTAGGCAACCTTACCTTCTCTGCTCTCATGGTATCTCCTAGGCTACTTAATCATCTTTCTATAGTGTAAGCCTTTAGATGTTGATTCCAGGAAAGTGGAGGGGGAGGCGGGAATTGTTTTTTCTTTGCTTCAGGAGTACAACTTCTGAATGCAGTGATGGATACTAATGGTGAGCTGTGTGAGTACAGCCTACTCTGCCAGTGAAAGTTAACCAATGCAGTGTCTGAGGCATGGACTCAGATGTGAACAATCCAAATTGTTTATTACAGGCTCTAACATCCCCTATATAGATTTACAAGTTTTCTCTTAACTTTCCCACATGCCTTTACATGTCAATAAAGCATTCCACAAATACTCCTTAACTATGCCTGAAGGCACTTATCCAATTGGAGCCACGAGTTGCTTCTAGCCATGCTATCTTCCTCCAATCAGGACCATCATCACATGGCCAATTGTACAGCTTATTTCACTTTGCTTTTCTCTGCTTCTGGAGATGTCCTTGGTTCTCAGCACTGCTTTCTCATGCTGTTTATCTTGCTCCACAGCTGCTGCTCTGAATAGCCTTGTATTCCTGCAAAACAAGATGTGAGTTTACCTTTTGGGCTTGACTCCATGTGCACTGAAGCTGGGTAGATCACACTCTGGCACAGCTGATCTTCCACTACAGTGATGGGATGCAGACTTCTTTCCTTACAATTCAGATGGTGTTTCAGCTTCCTTTCTGTATGGCTTGGCTGATGTAGCAAAGCTGTTCCCGCTACTTCCAATAAAATTCAGCATGTGAAGGCTGGTTCTTAGTGGGGACTCCAAACCAGTTCATTAACCTCAGAGTGAGGGCAGTGTGACTGTCCTCTTCCCTTTCCGTCTCCTTATGTTGACTGCTGCATTTGTTTGAACTGCTGAAATTGCTGAGAAATCATGCTTCAGCCTGGCTTGAGCTGCTAGTGTCAGCTGCCTTACCCCTGCTGAAAGCAGGAGGCCCTTTGCTTAGCCAAATACTGCACATGGCAGCATGTCTGTTGAGGCTCTGCCCTGCTGCCTTTAGGGCTGGTCTTCAAGGAGTTGTGCAATATGTTTGGAGTGAAATTGTCTCCTCTGTGTTTGCAACCTGAAAACATGAAATGGCAGAACTTATTATAGTCTCTTACAGCAGGAAAATGTTCTCTATGTTTAATTTGTGTTGAACTCAGGCTGAAAGAGCTGAGGCTGTTCATACTGGAGAAGAGAAGTCTTTGGGGAGACCTGATGCTAACCTGTCAGTATCCAAATGGGGGCTGTAGGAAAGGAGGCAGATTTTTTTTTT